AATAAAAAAGGAACTTAAAGATCATACCGCGTTTAAATCTTTTAACTTGTGTGTGTGTGTGTGTGTGTGTGTGTGTGTAGTGAATTTTGTAGCTAAGGAAGACGGAAAAAATAATTAGCAACACAAAATTAGTTGCAAATAAAGTGTGGAACTACGGCTCAACGGCGGCAATGAAGACAATGAGTGCAACGAACTTATTGACCGGCGCGCAGTGCGCAGCCGTAAAACACAGCGACACTGGGAAAATGAGTTGACCATTTTAATTTCAATTATTGCCGATTAAATGGTTGTTAATGTAAATATTACTGAAACTGATTGGCAATAAAGGTGCATGTGGTCAGTGGAGTGTATAAAGACTGAATGCTTTTTGATTAGAAAGGTATGATGAAATCTATAAGAATCAAGTAGCATCGAACAGTAATAAAGTAAAGACGAACAAAGTGCCAAGATAATGGTTAATTAGGATTTTCTTGGATTTAGAGAACTCCGCGTGTCACGTTAAAGTCTTTCTTAGATAGGTTTCTGTACCAAAATGTATTAAAGAAAGGCGTGAGTATCGGGTACTCATGAAATTTGATGAGTTAACATCTAGTTATGCACGGCTTCACAAATCATTAGGCGATTCAGTTTTATACATAAATTGGCTAGATTAGAAATTAAGCATTAATTTCATTCCTTTATATCGAGACCACAGTACACTGCTTTTTTATAACCACTTCGGGAATGGTTGGGACATATGTATTTCAGGATCATTTCGTGACTAGTCTCTAACTACCCGAAAATGATCCCGAACTAGTGCCAGAATGACTTCGAATAAGACTTGAAATGATATGGACATGGTCCCTTACCGGTCCCAGAACGACCCCTAACTAGCCCCGAAATGGTCTTGAAATAGTCCGGAACATGTTTCGAAACGGTCCTGAACTAGACCTGAATTAGGCCCGAGCTAGCCTCAAATGGTCCCGTACTAGTCCCGAAATGAACCTGAACAGGCCCCGAAACGGTCGGAAAATCGTAAACTTGTCCAGAAATGATCCTGAACTATACCCAAAATGATCCCAAGCTTGGTCTGAAATGTCCCTGAAATAGTCCTAAATCAGTCTCGAAATGGTCCAGAACAATGTAGTCCTTAAATGATCCCCAAAACTAGCCCCGAAATGATCCCGCAAGTGGCCTTAAATAGTCATAAACAGGTCCCAAAGCGGTCCCCAAATGATCCCGAGGTAGTCCCGAAATGGTCCTGAAATAGCCCTGAACTAGTAGAGAAATGTTCATATGTACACAAAGGAAGGATTTACAGATTTTTTGTGGGGTTGCACAAGAAGCAGTCACAAATTTTCAGCTTGGTTACCGCGAATTTTACTCATACCGAGTGCTAAGAAGTTTACACATCATAAATAACCAAGTTACGGTACAGAAATTAAACTCACCGAAGAGAAAATCTTTCCATTTAGGACTCAGCTGTTCAGCAGAAATAATCGAAGTGAAGCTAAAATCACATCCTTATTTTATTTAATGACATCAGAAAGCATCCCCTAGCTGCCTGGAGTGCTTCGTAGTGGTGCGTCTATGGCTTCATCCACTGCGCACTACTATGTAGGCCCTGGTGATTTAAATGGGGTAGTATAATAAGTTTATAATCCATTAGTTGCTGATTTTCTTCGCTGACACAAACTTTGTATGATGCCGTGTCTGCCGAACGCTAAAACTGAGCAATAAATGAACCGACGCCAGAAGCTCACATTGTTGTTGTTGTGGTGGTAACGGGAGACCCAAGAAGCGTGTAGCTTCTATCGGATCTGTCCATAAGGACAGAGGCATTAGTTGAGTGGAGTTCAGTGGGCATGCGAAGAGATGTCTCGAGTCGTGGGGTATCTGTCCGAATGCCGGGCACTCATTTGGCACATCCTCATTTAATCTGCTCAGGTACGAGTTTAACTTGCTGCAGTAGCCAGATCGAAGTTGGGCTATTGTGGTCTGAGTTTCCTGAGGCAGACGAAGCTCCGTCTCGTCCACATCAGGTGGTTGTGTTTTGGGCACTCAATCCGTCAGTTCGTATAGATGCTTTCTGACGTGTCGTGACCAGGGCTCCTGCGCAAGAAAAGTTCTGTTTAGGTGCCCACGTTGGTGACACCCTACTAAGAATTGCTTGCAGAGCGTTGTGTTATCCTCCTGAACTGGGTGCATATGAGGCTCGCCGTGTAGGTGATGTTGCGGCGACATCGGAAGGCATCCAGTCGCTGTCCGGAGTGCAGTGTTCTGGCAAGTCGGTAGCTTCAACCACTGCGTCCAACTGTCCCCGGCGACCACACAGGCGCTGCGTAGTTTAGAGCCCACAACGTTTCTTTGTCGTTGCTCCAAGTGACTTGAGGACTTTGTTGCGACTTTGTACTCTATTGACAATTACGGTTGTATGCACTGAGAAAGAGAGCAGACTGTCGAACGTAACTTCGAGGATTTTCGGGTTATTCACCATCGGAATTGGTTCGTCATCGACGTGAATACTCAGCTGCAGTCTGACCTCCTTCGTCCAGGTGGTGAAAAGGGTTGCTGAGGATTTTGTAGGCGAGAGAGTAAGGCTCCTTGCAGTGAAGAAGCAAGAAACTTAGGAGAGCTAACCGTTTACTTTCGAGCACAAGTCATCAATTCCATTCCCAGACGACATTATTGAGCAGTCGTTAACATAAGAGACTCCCTCTGGTGGTTTAGAGAGCTTTACAATGTAATAATTAAACAGCAGCGGGGAGAGGACACCCCCTGTGGAACCCCCTATTTATTCGTTCTCGGTTTGCTGGTTTTGCCAGAAGCTCATTGGTTTCCTTGGTATGATAGATCTTTCGTTGGCGATCAATATGCATACTTGAAAGCAAAATACAAGCTCTCGGTCCTCAGGGTATTTGTATAGTAGTGATATGCCAGAACTTCCAAAAGGCATTTTAGATTTGTCTCCACACTGGATAGTCGATACTACGAAAAATGGCCGTCTAGGTCGGACGTGGTGGGATCAATGGCCAGATAAGGCAAATCTAACCGGGCAATTTGGGTAACTGTCTTTCAACTCACCACAGTCTTTCGAATGCCTAAAGCCTTTAGCAAGCCAATTGTAAATTCTGGCAACTATCTTGAAAGCTCTTTTCTGCCTTCCGAAAGACTAATTGAAAGATCTGCTAACGAGGAGGTCTTAGCGTTATTCTGTTTGTCTTTTAGCATTAAGCTTTCCAAAAATTAAATGAAATTAAAAAATATATATATTTGTTTTAACAATAAAAACTGAAAATTAAAAGAAATTAAATCAAAAAGGAAAACATGCTTGTTAAATAAATAATACTAAAACGGAAATATTTAACAAAAAAATCTAAAGATTAAAAGAAAATTAAATAAAAAAGGGGTACAACAATTAATAAATAAGTTCCTAAAAATTAAATTAAAAGGTATTTTCCTATTTAAAATAACATTATCTAAATAATAAAAGAAAATTAAAATAAAAACGAAAAAAGAAGAAATAAATATAAGTTTCTAAAAATTAAATGAAATTAAACAATAGAATATAAAAATTAAATTAAAAAACGACAAAAATAAAAAATAAAATAAATAAATATGAAAGTAAAAAAATAAGTTCTTAAAAATTAAATGAAATTAAAAATCTTTTTTAAACCAGAAAATCTAATTCTAAAAAAAAAATTTAACCAAAAACGAAAAAAGGAAGAAATAAATATAAGTTTCTAAAAATTAAATGAAATTAAACAATAGGATCTAAGAATTAAATTAAAAACCGACAAAAATTAAATGTTACTAAAAATTTAATGAAATAATAAAATATATATATATATATATTTCTTCTTAAAGCAGTAAAATCTAAAAATTAAAAGAAAATTAAATTAAAAAAGGAAGAAAAAAGGAGTTCCTAAAAATCAAATCGGATTAAAAAAATCCTTTTTAAACCGCTAAAATCAAAAGTTATAAGAAAAATTAAACTTAAACTAAAGAAATATGTTTCTTAAAAATAAATTAAAAAAAAAAATTTTCTTTTTAAAACATTCAAATCAACGCTACAAACACCTAAATGTACACGACAAAAAATAAAAATTTAATATGTTTCTAAAAATAAACGAAATAAGAAATATATATGTGATTTTTTTTTTTTAATAATAAAATCTAAAAATTAAAAGAATTAAATTTTAACAAAGGAAAAAAATCCGCTGCTCGAGGACTCGAAACTCGGATATACCGAATGGCAACTAAGTGCTTTGCTCACTCGGCTATGTCGACTTTGGATCAGCGCGAGCTTTTCAACATGGAAATTGGAAGTGAAGAAATTTACTAAAAGAAGCTAGACTCTTTTTTACTATCTTAAATTATTTTTCTTGACTACTTGTTTTTGTGCAAGTAAGCAGAACCTACTCACAATTACTGAAAAGCATCTGTTAAGAAACAAACCTGAAGAAATGAATACAGCTGATTGCTATTTATTTTTCCAGCTTTACTTGGCATTTACGACAATTCCGTTGGACTCACAAAAATAAATTACTATAAGTAAAACTGTCTGGTACCGAAGTAACGAGATTCGTGTGATATGAAATTTGTGTTAAAAATGTTAATTAGTCATCGTTGGCATTTTTTGCCGTGGAAGTTAGTTCCTTATCAAAAATTAAATCAAATAAGCGGATTAATCGATTATTTGACAATAATTGCAATTAATGGCAATTATTTATTTGTGTCTTCTGATTATTCAATTGTTTAATTAATTGATCTAAATTATTTTATTCCCAAATTTCTGTCATGAATATTAGGCAACTAGAGAATTTCAATACAATTTGATCTAACATTTTCTCGAGTAGTGAATTAAATAGAAATGTATGATCATACAGTAATATTCATACATACATACATATGCCATCAAACATTTGAGATTAGGGAACAAAAATAGGGTAACAAATTCTTTAGTACCCTTTAATAACAAATAAAAGACACATCCACTATTTAATTTTGATCTCATTCTTAAGCTTAACAAAATAAAATTTAAGGGTAAAGTGCACTTTTTCCCCCTCAAAACTGTTTTGTCCTTACCTCTTGGTGTTGCATTTCGCATTTCACATTTCGCATTAAATTTCATTTATTTAGAAAGAAATGTGAAAAATATGCTACACATACTACATAACTAACTAACTATGTAATTGTATTTGAAGGTCTTTTAACTTTAACTTTTACTTTCTGCCACTTGATGTTCACCTTGCTACCTTCCAATTACGTACTTAGGAACTTAAGTATACGAACGTGCACACATACATAAGTAAATATACAGCGTAAAATTGCTGATTTGGCAACACCTACGCGAAAAATAACTCAACCGTACAACTACCCACACCACCTCATCCATATTGTATAAAGTACAACAACACCCAGGTAAGTAGGTAAGCTGAACATACATACAAACAAACAGTATTGTACATGCAATGGCAACAGAAAATCCAAGGACCCTACATATTTTACTGGACCGTCGAGAACAGGGAAATTACATTTGTACCAACAACAGCACACGCCTAACAAGAGCGAAGAAAACAAACCAACTGACCTACCAAACAAGTATGTATGTATGGTACATAAGTACGTACGGTGATACAAGTCATGCCACCCTAAACAAAAATTTGGCCAAAGTAGCATCCACACAGCAAATGAGAAATTCATAAGCATTGTAAATGATGCTTTTGGCGGCCGACAAAGGAGGTGCACAGCACAAAAGAGAAGATAATGTGAGAAAAAATGTGGATGACTGTTCTGGTGAGCGAGCGAACGTTGATGACAATTGCCAACACATGCAAGTATTTGTCACGATTGAGAGAATACAAAGGTTGCGCCGATGTCGGACCGCTATTCCACTCTTAACGAATTTGACAGAATCGTCGTTTGCATGACGTCACACTGGTGCATCTTGTTTACATTTTCCTTGCAACATTTTTTCTTCTTCTTCCATTCTTGCTCACGTTTTGGCATTTCTCTCTCGCAATTGCACCAGTGTGACGTCACACAAAAGTTATTCTCAAAAATCCTCTCTGATCGGCGCAATCTTGTATTCTATCATTCTTGAGTATTTGTGTTTATAAAATAAAATTTATTATTATTTTTTTTTTTTAGCGCCAGCCTTGGTAACTTCTGATTAGAAGGAAGGGTGGTGGAGTTGGGTTTTCGAAACTCGCTTTTTATGCATTTTTGTAGCGAAAGGAATAAAGAAAACGTGTAGTTTTTAGGGCTGTGCGATTAATTGATTACTCAAAATTTTAATTAATCATAAAGTAAATAACTCAATTATTCGATTAATTGGAAATTATGATTACTCAAAAGTTCAGTTACTCGAGTAATCAAGATTTTTGATTAACCAAAAACAATATTTGAGTAATTTGCTTTATGATTAATCAACGTTTCGAGTAAAATGAGTAATCAACATTTCAACTCTTTACATATGTATAAAGTAGTTCAAGTTCCTTGATACTTTGAAAACAACGTTTCTGTTTTCAAAAATTAAAACGAAAAATTTTTTAATATACAGAATGTAAAAAAGAAAATAAGCATTTTCCAAAGTAAACTCTTTTAACGAGCAAAATTATTTTTTTGAGTAATCATATTTCAAGTAACTCGATTAATCATCGTTTTGAGTAATCAAAGTCTTGATTACTCGAGTAATTGATTAACCGAATAATTGATTAACCAACTTGCTCGAGTAATTGAATAATCGCTCAGCCCTAGTAGTTTTAATAGTAGTGGTAATGGTAATGATAATCGTTGTGGTAATGGTAATGGAAACGGTAATGGAAATAGCAATGGCGCTGGTAATGGTAATGATAATAGAAATAGTAAAGGTATGTAATGGTAGAGATAATAGTAATGGTAATATAATGGTAATGGTAAAGGTATTGGTAATGGTAGAGGTATTGGTAAAAGTAATGGTGACGGTAAAGGTGACGTAATGTTACTTGGTATTGGTGATCATAACGCTAATGTTAATTGTAATGGGAGTAGTTATGGGAGTGGTAATTGTATGGTATTGGTAATCGTAATGCTAATGTTAATAATAATGGTAATGGTAGTGGTTATGGAAGTGGTAATTGTAATGTTAATGGTCAAGTTAATGGGAACAGTAATAGGAAATACAATGTTTTTGGTAAAGCTAACGATAATTCTATTGGTATTTATGGCAATGGTAATGGAAATCTTAATACTAATAGTAATTATAGTAGTAGTAGTAATTGTAATGACAATAGTTAAAGTTATGTTAGTGGTTGTTTCAATGGTAATGATGATGGTAATGGTAACGGTAATGGTAATAGTAATACACAGTAGTAATTGTTATGGCTATGATAACGATAATGGTAATGGTGTTGATAGTCACAATGGTAATGATAAGGCCAGTGGTAATGGTAATGGCAATGGTAGTGCTAATGCTTATGGTAATGATAATGGCCATGGTATTAGTGTTAGAATTGGTATTGGTGTTAGTATTGGAATTGGTATTGGTAATAGTATTGCTTTTGGAATTGGTATTATTATTGGGACTTGTATTGGTATTGCTATTATTATAGCTATTGGTATTGGTAATGATAGTAGTAACGGGAATGAGAACAGTAATGGTAAGTGTAAATATATACAGATCATGTTTAAAAGCATAAACAGACGGCAGCGTTGATCCGGATTAACTCGTACTTAATGCGGATCAACTGCAGTTAATTTCCGAGTTGAACCGGATCAACGCTGCCGTCTGTTTATACAAAAATATTTGAAAAGCAAAAAAACGATCACCCTAATACTTGTAAATGGTGGATACATACCATTTGACTTACCATTTGGTCGCATCGCCACAGCCATCCTTTTTTGTGACTTCTGTGGCGCCCAATGCTTTCACTGCTTGCTGACTACTGTCTGCTAGCCTCCCTCCCTCCACTACCTCACTTCTCAGCTGCTGGCGTTGGATAAGTGACTGCCGCGCGTGAGATTTCGCCTAGATTTAGCTATAATTGCAGTGGATTTTCATGCAGGAATGGGTGGCGCGTAGGGAAGACGTGAAGCGGAGAGTTGAAGCAGGAACAAACCGTATGTACAGTGTCTCGTGATTTTGCAATTTATTTAATGTTACGCGCACGGAGCCCCGTCGCTACCTCCGTCCGTCTCTGATTCTATGCACACTGCCAAGCAAAGCTCAGCAGCAGCTCGCTGGCACTAGGCTGACCCAGTCGCCGACTATATTTATTTAGTTGGGGTCCTTGATGATGATGATGATGGCAAGATGTACATATGTATATATTGTATGGTTGCTGTTGTTGTTGCTCTTGTCAAGTTTTTTTTTTTTTTGTTATTTGCAGACTTCAAAAATGTGTTCCAAAGTCGTTGGCAACTTTAATATTTGATGGACATAAATCTTTTTAGCTTCCGCTTTTGGCTGTTGAATTTTTTCTTTACTTTTGCTTTCTTTCAATGATCACACTAGCGTGTGCTCTTGCGTGTCTGCACGTGTGTTGTTTTGATGTTCCATTTGCGCGCAAGTGTAGGTATGGATGTAGGTGTGTGTATTGATGTGTTATTTGTGTTGCTGTTGTTTTTATGGCAGCTACATGCCTTCATTTAATTTAAGCGAATTTGTTGCTGTTGGTTGTCGCTGGCGTTGTTGTGGTTGATTTCATGTGTTGTGATTGCTTCTATTGTTGTTAAGCTTTTGTTGAAATTTTATTGTTAAGACTGCAAAATTGTATTCAATTCTTGTATTTTTGGCAACTCAACTTGAATTTATGACGGTGTCAACAACGTTGCTGGCAACTGCCACTAGCCCTGGTGAAGATGATTTCTACAAAGCATCTGAAGTTTTTGTATTTTCCCTGGTAGCTACTGAACAGTCCTTCGGTTATCGGGTATTTTTCTCAGTTTTCAGTGACCCCGCTTCTTGGAACACTACTGCAGTTGTCGATTCATGTTGTGGCTGTAACTTTCGTGACGTCTCTTATAGTTTGTTAATCGCTCACTTAGATCAATCTTATTATTCTTGTTCATCTTCTTTTATTAAATTTTTATTCTATTTTTATTTATTTATTTATTAATTTTTATTATTATTTTCTCTTCATTCAATCGTTTCTATGTTCTTCTATGTTGATTTCTCTGTTAAAATATTTTATACGATTCTACGTGTTTTAGGCGCATATTTCTTAGTTTTTAAAATTAAATAGTTCCACAAGCATTTTTTTCGTAGGACGCCACAAAATTTTCATAATTTTGTATCGCCGAATCAGTCCGTGCAAGAATTCCAAAGTTTTTTCTGCTTCATAAACATACATTTCTACATTAGGGTGGTCCAAAAATTTATGTGAAAAAATTAAGTCGGAATTTTAATGCTCTAATCCCCTAGGATTGCTCTATACAGACAAAAATGTACCCCTGTTTTTTTTTATTTTTTTTAATCAAAAAATATTTAGAGGTCGCTCAAAGCGTTAGAAATCTTCCATGTAACTATTTTATATGGGGAAAAACAAGTTTTTGTGAAAATGGTATAGAATTCTTTAAAATCAATATTTTTCGACCGGCCAACCACGTCCAAACAAAATTGCAATTAAGTGAGTGCACTTTTTTCAGATCCATAAAACCAGAAATTTGACTATATCTCAAATACTAATTTAGTATTCGAATTCAGCGTACAATTCTTCATAAAAACTTATAAAAAAATGTCGCGGTTAGCCAACTATATCCAAAAAAAGTTTCAATTAAATGAGTGCACTTTTTTCAGATCTCAAAAACCAGAAGTTCGGCTTTATCTCAAAAACTGGTCTACTCTCTTACATTTTAATTTTGTATTCAGATTCAGCAGGTAATTTTACATTAGAATTATTTATAATCAATGTCGATGGTCGGACAATTTTTTCATTTCTGTAATCTTGTGTTATTGCCGACATAAATGCAAGGCGGACCCGAGTGCGTTCTATTATGAACAAATTTTAGTCTTTTTTGCCTTAGAAAATAAGCTATCGATATAAGCCAGCGTTGGGCAGAGAGAGCTTCTACTCCGCTCGCGCCTATACAAAATGTATAGAAAGCTTAAAAGAGCTTTGCCCGCGGGCAAGGCAGTGCCCATCAGTGATATAAGCCATTTGCGAAAAAGCACATTGTTTAAAAAATGCAATAATTTTTTTTATTGCAAATTTGGCAAAAAATTGTAGTTTCCACCAAAAAGTACGGAACAAGTTCTAATAGGTCAGCAATTTTTGATTCTTGATATACGAATTTTTAGAAAGCTTGTGACTAAAAGAAAGAGCTGAAATTTGCATGTTTAAACTTGTATAACTCGGCATAAAACCGCGATAGAAAAAAATTGTTTTACACATACGTTACCAGTAACCATAGCAACAAGGTGGTGGAGTTTGAACAAAATGCTAGCATACATTTTCTTTTTGGTACCCATGGCGAATTTCGCCCCATACATAATGTGACCAACCGTACTTCTTTCAGAAGTACAGTACTTCTTTTTTAGCTCTTATACTTCGTACTTCGAAGTACAGTCAAATGTACTCCTTTGCAATATGTTGTACTTCAGCTCCTGTAGTTCTCCGATTTTCTGGACGATCGTCATATGGCTTAGGCGATGAATTCGTGCAAACCATTAAAGTCGCCTGGAACCGATGGCATATTGCAAGCTCGGTGGATACCACCCTGCACACATTGCTAAAGTGGTCAGAGGAAGCTTTCACGCAGTAGGGGCCTTCCTCGATATCGAGGGAGCCTTCAGCAATGTCACTTCAGAGGCAATATTCAAATCTATTTATAATCTGGGAAGTACAAGATACTCGTTGTGGCCCTTCCCTCGAGTGAGGCTGTTCGTCTGTGGCTCTCCTACAGCGTCAAGTACTTAGGCTTGATTCTGGATAGGAAGCTGTCGTGGAAGCCTAACATTGAGAAAAGGGTAGGTTAGGTTAGGTTGATGTGGCAGTCGAATTACCAACTCACTTAGACCTTTTTGAAGGTCCATTGTGATACCACTGCAGAACACGGGAACCTCTGTGACTAATCTTCAGAGAACCATTTCGAAGCTCTTATAAAGCGTAGGATTGGCTTTATTCCTACGCATGATAGTTCCGTAAGAGAGCTAAAGAAGGGCCTACCTAAAAAGCCTGCTCTCCTCCTGGCCAGAGCTGGGCAGCTACAGAAGAAGTGCTCTACGGTTTCTTCCTCTTCCTCATCCCTGCAACTTCTACAATATTCGTGGGAGAATATTCCTAGTCTCGAAGAGTGCCTGCCAAATAGCCAATGACCGGTAACACAAGCCATGACCCTTGCAATATCCTCTCTTGAGAGGCTGAGCAACTCTTTCGTCTTTTTTCTTATCTATTTGTGGCCAAAGTAGCCTAGTTGTTCTACAAGTGCCCTCCTATAGCCATGACCTGTTTGCCTCTTGGATCATGCTGTTTCGAAGTTCTCGTTTGCAGGTCGCCATGGGTATCCCAATTGTGCCTCTGTTTTCACATAGGGGGAGATTGGTCCTTTTATGGCAAGCTCATCGGCCCTGCAATTTCCTTCAATGTCTCTATGTTCCGGAACCCAAATTAGGCTGAGAAAAGGGTAAAAAAGACGTCGGTTTTATTGTACTGCTGTAAGGGAGCTATCGGAAAAAGTTAATTCATTAGCTCTGTGCAACCAGATTTAAGCTTATCTTGTTTCACGGAGCCTTTGTCTGGTGGAACCCGCTAGAGAAAGCTACACTTGTAAATTAGGAATTATTGGAGCATTAGGAACCACAGCTATACTGGCGCTTAACGTCATGTTTAACACGGCGTCTGAGGATATTGTAGACAGAATTTTAGCAGCAGGAACTGCTATTAGGCTAAGGGAAACCGGGTGGTAACACTCTGGATTTATGGGGCGGGCTTTGACTTCGCCCTGAACACATAGATTGCAGCGCCTCCGAAATGCCTGCCAGAAACTCCTTCTCTGCCTATGTTCCCTCAAGAGATGACTGGGTAGGCAGGGATTACTAAGGATTCCGGACTTCTGCAGCGTCTTTCAGGTGGAAATGGCTGCGATCAAGGAAGCGGTAGACTCACTGCTAAAGGGTATGGTGGTGCGTTAAAAATCGGTAAAGTGCGTTATCCATCGCGTCACAGAGGTAATTCTTCTAGTATAGGTGCCGGGTCATAGTGATGACCTGGCGTTTTAAAGGCACCCCCCCTTAAAAAGTTGTCCCCAGATAAGGAGCAACTAGGGACGCCTCTGTTCTCTAGCATTACACTATTGGATGGTTGGGCCTAGTGTGAGCTCGGCGGGCGCTAAACTAACACGCATACTTGTACTCGCGATAATGAAATTGCATATTTTACTAAATACCTAATAAAATGGAAAATAAGACGTTTCTCCGCTGCAGAAAAGGTTTTTATAAGGCACTTTAAAATACTTTTTGCAGCGCTAGTAACGAGTGACCCGTCGCTACCCCTTAAAGGTGCCGAATACCACGTTACCTCTCAAGAGCTAGTGATGGAGGTTCTGACAGGCCATTGTGCGATTGATATTCACTCGGTAAGACTAGGAATTTCAACTGACACCTTTTATTTTAGCTGTCAAAAGGATAGATGAAGTGGAATCATCTGCACACTTTCTTTTAGACTGTCCACCTTCGCGAGGCTAAGATGGAAGCATTTTGGTTCGCTCTTCTGAACTAACACTGAGCTCTCAGGGATTGAAATTAGCCGCATTCGAAATTTTAAATCGGCTCGCGGCGTTAACCTAACACAACATAACCTGTACTTCTTTGAGCTATGAATAAGTTGATCACATTACCAATACATGAATATGTATATCAGGAAGAATCCGAATATGAGGATGAATACGAAGACGAATACAAATATGAAGCGGAATACGAAGAAGAGGACGAATACAAAGATGATTGCGAAGACGAATACAAAGACACCACTGAAACGAATACGAAAGCTAATACGCATACGATCCGATGACGAATATGAAGATAGCCACTAAGACGTTTGTATGCGAAAGTGAATGTGAAGACTAATACAAAGACAAATGTGTATATGGAAACAGAAACTAAAACGAAGACGAAAACCTTTTCGGTACTCTTAAAGAGCGGCCGACTTCGGCGGTAAATGGCAATACTTGTAATAATAATAAAACCTCTTTCCTGATATACAGCTATGGATTAAACTTGAGAGGATCGACTTAAGCAGATTTTGAGTTGCCATGAAAGTTGTTGATTAAGAAAAAGTCACACAAAGGATAACACGTTCACACAAAGAACAATGTTTAGATCTGTGGAGCCGGAATCCGCTATCAGAACTCATACATACACTCTAAAAAAAAATTGTGTAGATTTCCTACCTAAAAGAAAGGTTACTGATTATTATTCGCGAAATTACATGCTCGATTATTCAACGAATAGTTTGTTTAAATTTCGGACTTTTTAGAGTATAATATAGCTGCTGTGGTGTGCGTAAATTTACTAAGAAAGTGTGTACAAGCTACAAAATACACAACTGCTGTTTGATTTCACCCTTAGAATTGTGTAAAGCCACTAACAAAAAGGATTTTTACACACGAAAATGTGTAAACGAGAAAAATACATATTCATCGTGTAAATTTACCAAAAAAATATAAAAATAAACAAAAATATACTCGATTTATAGTCGCATTTTTAAACAGATTTTTTAGAGTGTAACCAAGAAAAACATATGAAAAATACACAAATAATTATGGGTGCCTTTGAGGTTAGCTTAGGCCAAGATCCTCTTAGTTAATTCTGATAGCGGATTCAGGTTCAGCATGGCGTAATACAAATAAGTAGATATGTATGTAACTACCCTAGGTTCCTAAATTTATTTTGTGTAGCCATTGTTACGAGAAAAATAATATCTAGGGACACGATATTTTGACTAGTGCCAGTTACTCAATATTCAACCGTTTTCTAGTTTTTTAAAACCCTTTCTAACTTAGCACGTCGTTTTTTTCTCAAGGTACAAAATTACCAGCAAATGTCCTGCTTTGGAACTAAAACGTGACTAAATTTGTTCATATCTTTGAAGGTCTTTGAATGACTTTGGCAGGACTTGGCATTGACCCGATACATTCTTGTTTGTCGATAAATTTCGAGAATTTGACACATATCGATAATTCAATAAATTTCAAAAACACTGAAATCCGAAAACTCCAAAAAATTATATAACTCGACTAATTTTGATAATTTTCAATAACTGTGCGTTTCGAGGGCTCGCTAAATTTTGATAACTCAACAATTTATATA